CTAAGATTATAATATAAGATTGGAGAAAAAGTTTTTTTTTACATTTTATACGAAAATTCAATATTTTTTTTATAATATTTATTTACATTTAACTACAGTCCGTAGGTGCCATTTTGTTCGATTACTTTTTGCCATCTTGTAGATAGGGCCATGATCTCATTGCTATAGAAATTTCAGGTCTCCAATTTTCATCACTTGTTATCAGCTTTTTCAAAAATGGTTCGGTTTCATTACGTCGTTATAAAGAATCACAAAAGAGTTTCATTAGGTTTCTTTCAGTGATCTCGTGAGGCACCCAATTATCTAGCTTTTTGTGTGCCTAGCTTTTTTTAAATGCGCCTAAACTGTTTTGTGGTCAATTCCCAGTTCTTCAGCTATGTCTTAAATACTGATATGCCGATATTGCTCCACTTTTTCAAAAATAGCATCCATTTTATCCATAACAGGGCGACCAGAGCGACGACGTGCATATTTGACATCAAAATTTCCGGATTGAAACCAAATTTGTTCTACTCTCACAAACACTGCACTAGGTCTATAAATATCACTTATTTTTTTCGCGGCTTGCGTTGCATTTTTACCTTTTTTGTAGTAAAATTTTAATATTTTGACGACCTGTATGGCCTAGTGGTTTATACGCCGGGTTTCATGATGTTGCCGACTCGAGAGGTCCCGGGTTCGAATCCCGGTGGGAGCAGATGTTTATGTGATGACATTTGATGATGCATGATGCATGATGTGATTGCATTTGTACTCTGGTCTATGGATGTTTGATATGTATTTCTATATAAATATACTTATATACACACATCAAAAGTGTCTAGGGATCAACATATATTTTTGCAATAACTTTTCTCCTGATTGATATTAATTAAAATTTTCTTTAAGGATTCATCAAATAAAGTGTTTTCGTTTGTCACAGTAACGATAAACCAAGTCACCTTTGCATTAATAAAGAAATTTGCCATTTTCCTAATAAAGGGATTTTTGACATTTGAACCACTAACACAAAAGTTCGAAAAAAAGACTGAAATAACAGTTTTCTCTAAAATTTTATTGGGTAACTTAAACAATTAATAATCCGTATTTCTACCGCGAACACTAACAACACAAGAACATCGGTTTGGCATACTCAAAATGAGTTCATCCAAATCACGCTGTGGAATGGCCGCCCATGTTCGTTGCAACAACAAAAAAAGGTCTTCTTGCGACTGGATACCCTCCATATTCGGCAGAGCTCTTCTCTGTAGCATATCCCATGCATGCTCAATCGGGTTCAAGTCTGGAGACTGAGCAGGCCAGGGCAGGACATTGATGTTAGCTGCGGCGAGAGTCTGTCTTACAACTCTTGCGGTGTGCGGTCGTGCATTATCATGCATTAACTGAAATAAGGGACCGATTTGCACTTGTAGAGGAACGATGACGTCTGATACAATCGTCTCAGCATAAATTTGAGCGTTGAGGTTGCCTCTGATCCAAATCAACTCAGTTCTTCAGCCGATCCAAATACCCGCCCATACCATGATGGTTCCACCACTATAAGGATGGACTTCCTGGCAGGATTTTAATCGCTGTTGGCGTCCAGGGGTTCTCCAGTGTCGTATACGTCTTGTATCCGGTCTCATACCAAAACGAGACTCATCAGAAAAGCACACGAAACGCCATTGTTCTTCTGCCCAATTTCTGTGTTCAAGAGCCCATTGATATCGAATCCTACGATTGTGCATTGCTATAGGTGGTACCCGTAGCGGTCTTCGGGAATGAAGGTTCACTTCATGCAAGCGGTTTCTGACTGTTTGGTCGCTAATTAAGTTCCCTGAAGAGTGATGAAGCCTCACGGCTAACATCATGGCGGTTATTGTTGGAGCTCTTCGAGTTAAGATTTGAATGTATCGGTCTTGTCTCCGTGTGGTGCAGCGATACCGTCCTCCATGGCGCTCAGCCACGGTACCAGTGCTTCGGTATCGTGTCCAAAGTCGACTGATAACACTCTGACTTGTATTCAGAGCTAAAGCCACAGTACGTTGCCGGGAACCAGCTTCTATCATTCCCACGGCTCTGAGCATTTCTTCCCTGCTTAAATGACGTCGCCGCTCCATAATAACGTTGGTTTTAATCAGTAGTAGGGAAACAGTAGCACTAATAATGTCTTCAATGCGTTGTATGTTTTTATAGGGAAAATATTGACAGCTGATTTTCATCTTTTACTCGAATTTGATTCACAGTTCCTGATTCAAATTATGAAATGCACCAAAAAGGATCCATATAAATTTATAAAATCATAAATTTATTACAAAGCCACATCTCAATCTCAAGAAATCCGCATAAAAATGCTTGATCCCTAGACACTTTTGATGTGTGTATGTAAAATATATGTATTCTCTCCGTTACCCTAGTATCCCATAACACAAGCCTTACAGTGCTTACTTTGGGGCTGGACTAATTGGTATGACTGTTGAAAATATTTATTTTTATTTATTTAATTTTAATATGTATCGAATTTCTTCATTAGATTCACTCATCTTAACCTTACTGTTAAGATGAGTGAATCTCATTATTCCTTGTTAACTTCTAAGTTCTCCGATGCCAGAAATGACCGAATTGGAGTCAGTACCCTTATTAAAAACGGCTATCAAGTTTCTTTGAATTTTCATCATTTCTATAAAACAAGTGAAATGGCTGATATGAAAAAAGAAATAACAGACATAATAAAAAAAAAATTAGAACACTACAAAACTCGTCTGCAGCAACCATCTGCCCGGAACGCATATCATATCTGTGACCGCTACGTGACTGTAATCCATTCCGTTGAACTAAAGCTCTAAATCAAACTCCTTTCGGCGCCGCGCTGAATTCAATGCAATATGTCATCGCGGTGTTCAAGATTCACTATTTATCTTTTATCTCGCCGGCGAATTGATTAATGATACCCTGTGGCCGTGGAGCGGGTGTTTACGCAACACGCGTACGAGACCTCCACGCAACAATAATAGCATCGCATAAAGGACATTCACTGATAAATAGCTATTAAATGAAGATTTTAATTTTAACATCATTCACTACGTATAGTTAAAATAAGTAAATTGAAAATATTTCAAAATTGAATCTAATTTCGCTTCAAATTATAAAAGTACTAGTGCCCCGCTCTCGCTTCGCTTCGTTTTATAGCTGTAGTGTAGACTATAGTTTTTGGTCTTAGGCTTGTATTATACACAATAACTTCTCTCAATTATAAATTTTGCGTGAAAATTTATTTAACTAATACTGAAATTTTTGTTGCGTAGTTTAGGACCCGTTGTATAGAATGCACCATTGTTCTGCTGTTAATCATAGAAATTAGTACATTTTGATTTGACTCAACGCGTGACGTGGCGTCAGGTGGCGTCGCGTTACATAAGTCTGATTCGGTCATATTATTTCATGAAAAATTTTGCAAAAACGGTTAAAAATGTTCCATTTGTGAGCTTTCGTTGCTAGGTCACGGGTTCAAATTACACAAAAATCATGTTTGACGGAATTGTTCCCCTTTAAAAGTTCTATAAAAAAGTCCGCAACAGCATGTGTCCTTTTAAGTTTGTCTCAATATAACCTTTTTCTTCAAACTAAAACGGGTGAAACCACAGGGATCTTTAGCTGTGACATAATTATAATAGTTCGACATATGATATTGCGAACTTTTTTGTAGATACTGTATATCCAATGACTTGCGCAACGTACGCGATATAAGGTTATTAATTGTTTATTTTTACATCGGGTTACGTTATCGAAGTTTTGAAATACTCTATAGCCTATGTTCATCGGAGATAAGGTAGGATTCTAAATGTGAAAGAATTTATCAAATCGGTCCAGTAGTTCTTATTCAATATAAATAAACCATCAAATCTTTCCTCTTCATAATATAAGTATAGATACCTTACTCGAGCGTTAAATGCGTGCGTAAGGGAAACATTAACCTTTCCATAGGTAGCAGAAGAAATATATCACATACTGGGATCCGAACACCTATTATCTCACTAACTATTAATATTGCTATGCAAAACGCAAAAACAAATAAGCATACCGCCCACCTGTAGCAAGTAATAGATCACCGTCAACATGACATATCTGACACCAGAAACGTTTGTAAAAAGAAGGAAGTAGAACGCTTTTTAAATGAAAGTTATCAGGTCGTATCGTTTCGTCTCACTCTAGAGTATTAAGAACTAGAATAAAAATTCCATAGTTATTTCAAAAATATGAGGATGATTAATTTGCAATAGGTCAGGTGTAAGTTGAATCAAACTAGGCATTTATTTACAAAGACATGTGTTCCAAAGTTTGCGGCTTGAGGTTTACAACATCTGCGAAAAAAACGCATAGATATTCAATAACTATCATGTTTTATCCATATAACTCATCAATTCAAATAAAGACTGATATTGATTAAGTTAATATCAGTAATTATTTAAATTGATGCCAAGGAAAAAAGCTATTAAATTCTTCGAAGGAGGTTATTCGTATATAGAGACCAAAAATATGTTTAAAACAAAGACACGGACAGAGTCAGGCTATCTTTAAATAGTCGCACGTCGAAGGAGTTCAGATGGCAAGCGATAACACACGGCTACCCTCATCCATTTTTCGCTGCCCCATTCGCTTGCACGCTACAAGTCGCGCGGATCAACTGAACAGGCCGATACTTGAGTATAGGAACACTTTACGCACGTAAGCTCGCCGTTACGCGCGTATTAAGATACCTGCGACGCGCGTATCATATTAACGGTCCTATGTAATTACTCAGAAACTCTATACGCGCATAAGAATGTACGCTCGTCGTCACGCGACCATCTGAATTTAGCCTTACTGCCTCATTCATAATATTAGTAGGTATCGACTATTTATTTTCAGTTAGCGTTTGATCGCGTGGAAAGATGGCAACTTGACCACCTTATCGGGTGATGTAAAGCTACGGCTTCTATAATAATATCAACATAAGAAAAAAAATAACATTAAGATTACATGTTCGTAGTTGATTTATTATTTTTATACACTTTCTACTGCTGCTTAATAATATTTATATACGAGACAAAGCATAATCTCTTTAGTGCATAAAAACAATTGACATTCACCGCTCATTCCTTTTTTAAATCGTCTTTATCGGCATTGTTGAGAAGGGTGGGTTGGAACTGATTGTATCTGTTGTAAATTGGATTGTATCCTGCGTCATACGGGCGCCTGGGGTCATATTGATATCTCGCGTCATAGGGGCGTCTGTAGTCGAACGGGTACTTTGCGTCGTAAGGACGTCGTGGATCGTATGGGTACCTGGGGTCATAGGGATACTTAGGGTCGAATGGACGATTGTACGCTCCAAAGCGGTTGTATCTGTTGTATTCAGGGTCGAAAATGCTGATGTTCCTTCCATCTATGGCGGGTAACAGAGGTAGCGCTTTGCCATCGGCTGAAATGTGCACACCTGATGGACGGAAACCTGAAAATAGTTTTAGACTGGTTAGAGTAAAAGCTACTCTTAATAAGGAAATGAAATTGAAGTAATGAGATTCCATTCACAATACTAATTACTGTACCTCGTATTAAAATATGTAAAAAAAATGTAGGTCTCGGATAGTACAGTTTGTAGAGCAATGACTTGGAAAGCAAATGTTATTTGCGTATGTATTAAGTATCAGATATGTGAGGTCTAAAGGACAATGGGCAAAACGCACCCAGCTCCTCCAACAATGTAATTAGTATGAATCGATAGATCAATGAAAAACTAGCCTTTTTTATTATGACACCGAAAATAAATATCCTGGGAGTCAAATGATATGACACTGTAAAAAATATCCTGGTACTCAATAGATATGACACATGGGCATATTTAAGTAGCTGAATAAATTCATTTTATAGTATCTTCATTTTATATTATTAGTAATCATAATAATATGATATATCGTACTATACAACCAGATATACGACAAAGCCGACCATCCTGCACTTGCTCTTACTGAAACATTTCAAAACGGTTTACGGATGATGAAGGACTTGCAGTTGCAAATAGTTGACTCGTCTTACTTCGTTGTGATTGTGCGCTCCCTGCTACTTGATTGATTTTTATCTAACACGCTTTGGATATTGGAACACGATTATCATGTGTTCTCCGAAGCGTGGATAAGTTTGTGTAATCTGTGGTCGCTTACATAGAAAACAATATACTATAACGAACAGAATGTTTAAAAAAAACCCAACCCATGCGGGGATGTTTTGATTTACTGTAGCGCGGCAGAATAACATAAGAGGGCATCCTTGCACCTTGTGAAGTACTCCCATAATTCCTTAGCACCCTATGTAGAGTCGAACTAACTAACTAAATTAATTCCCTTGTTTCATTAATGTTCGTTCGTTATAGTACTTGTACACATTTAACTTAAAATATCTAAAGACCCCCGGGATGGAATATGATGCGCTTTGGCACAGATCATCTTGACTATAATACCTTTCAAACAAATGTAGTTTAAGCCGTGGCGGACGTGGGTGCAGTGTCCATACATTTTTGCCCAATGTCCTTTCAATTTCAATATGTATGTACGTGTGTGACGGACTTGGCGGATGGGGGCTAGGCGAAAAAAGTGTAAGATTTTTCCATCACAGTCGCGACCGTCAGTTGTTTCGCTACGTTACAACTGACGGCTTTTAACTTCTTTCCAACCGAGTGTTCCACGATACGTTCGTTTGCCTTAAATACATTTTCGATTATTTTTTTAAGGAAGAATTCTACACTTAACTTGATAGTATGTACTTGTAACTAAAACGGAGTAAATAAAAATTTACCATTCTCATCAGCAACATAAGAAACTTGTATCGGGGTTCCTTCGGGAGAAATATAAGCGTAACTGCCCTGTACGACCTGAAATCAACATGGTGAAACTATAATATAAATAATAGGCATGGTGACGGAGTAAATTAAACGACATTCTGTTTAGTCCGTCAGTTAGATTATTAAAAATATAATGGACACTTATTTTTACTTTTGTCAATCAAAGAAAAGATAACAAAGACAAAAATATGAATAAAGAAAAAGTACGTGTCCCATACTTTTTATAATATACATAGACGAAGAATAAAAAGTTAGTCATCATCCCCATAACATTGAGTTATTGACATCTAATCCAACATACAATAACAAATGATTATGTATTATCTAAATAAAAACTAGCCGTCGGAGTTGGCAGCGGAATCTCTTCCGGAGATTCTTGGCAACCCATGTCCACCGTTACTCTGGCCGCTGCCTGGGGCCGTCGCTGTTTCCTTGTTCCTATAAAGGTTTTGCCCAATGAATGGCCACGCTGAGCATGCGAGTTGGACATTTAGGGACATTGGGGTCCTAAGGTACTTCAATGGCGATCTCGCACCGGGAAGCGCAGTGACGGTAGATCCCTTACCAGGTGGACTGACGGCATCAAGCGAATCGGAGGGACCCACTGGATGAGCTAAGCTCAGGATCGTTGTGTTTGGAGATCCCTAGAGGAGGCCTATGTCCAGCAGTGGACGTCCATCGGCTGATTATAGTGGTGATAGTAAATAAAAACCGGTAAAGTGCGAATCGCACACAAAGGCGGACCCTTCCATAATTCCTTTCTTGGTGGTTATATGTGTACTGTAGATAACGCGGCCACAAATAAATTTCACGCCTCAAAAAGTAGTTTTTTTTTTAATATTCGGTGTGCTTTTCGTTTGAACAACATAAAGTCGGTTAGTTTGAGTTTTCGCAGCTATTTTTAGGTTTTGAGACTAAAGTGGAAATAGAAAAGTTGTAGTATAGGAGTTTCTTGTGTTCCCGTAAATTGCGATAAACCATTCCAGATTTATCCTAATAATCCCACTAATATTATAGGTGTGAAAGTTTGTATTTGTATGTTTGTTACTCAATCACGCAAAAAGTAGTGAATGGATTTGGACGAAATGTAATTAACTATATTGTGACCAATATAGTTTATTACCCGGATTGATACATCGGATACTTTTTACTCCAAAAAAATGATAGGTGCTCCTGAAGGATTCTCAAAAAACTAGAGTTAACGCGAACGAAGTTGTGGCTGGCCGCAAGTTAAACATATAAAGTTTTAATTGCATAGCTCTGATACTTTAGATTTTATTGATATCTAAAAAACCCTGATTTCGTCACTGACTCACTAATGATTATCAAAATTCCTGAAATTTGGTATGTAAGCTAGTATTAGTACGCAAACAACAAATATAATATAATACATAACGTTTTTCCCCCAAATTCTTAGACTAGGCGATGGAAGTTTGTATGAGATTTCCGCAATTTTGACGTTAGAGGTCTGAAAATTTGATATATATAGGGACTTCTTGTACATAAATCAAGTAATGAAAATAATTCATTCCCTTTTTATAGAACGAAAAAATTAAAAAATCTCTCAAGCAACTCACGATAAGAAATACAATTGCAACAAAAACATTTTCATGTAAAATGTTGCCAAGACGAGAGCATATGACTCGCACTGTCAAAAAATATCTTGGGTCATGTAGAGCCAAGCTTCTAACTTCTAGCTTCAGCAGCTTCGCTTAGGAGACTACGTAATTTCCTACCCATCACCACCAAAATTACCTTAGCACAGTCGTTGTTGCTTCCCATTCTTGATTATGCTGACGTCTGCTATCTTGATCTCACGGAGGACCAGCTAAATAAGCTTGAGCGACTTCAAAACTTTTGCATCCGCTTCATATTTGGCTTGCGCAAATATGATCATGTTTCTCAATTTCGTTCGCAACTCAAGTGGCTACCTATTCGTCTTCGCCGGAATACTCATATTCTCACTCTCCTTTACAACATATTGTTTAATCTTAAGACCCCGCGCTATCTTAAGGAATGTTTTAATTTCCTTCACACCTCTAACACGTTATCTCTTAGGTCATCAGAAAATCTTACTCTCATGACTCCTGTACACGGTACAACATTTTATAGCCGTTCGTTTGCAGTACGAGCCGTACACCTGTTACCATACGACGTGCAGAATCTATTCACGCTTTTAACAACCTTGTAAAGTCCCATTATCTGTCCATATAGAACTTTTGGTTTTAATCTTATTTGTGACTACTACTGAACTAGATTTGTTTATTTATATGTATGTATGTATTTATTTAATATATATTTATATTTATGTATGTATATGAATGTATATATTATTACCTATATCACTCAAATGATTTACGCCGCCATCTCTCCCACTTCCTTCTAGTGCTCTCCATCCAAAGGTTGTCTGGAAGAGATCTCTCAGCGATAAGGCCGTTCATTGTTACACTTGTTTTTAAATAGTTATGTACTAAATGTTATGTTATCTGTGGTGTACAAAAAAGTGTTTTGTATTGTATTGTATTGTATTGTTTACACCCCACATCCACATATTTGAACTAAGATGTAGATTTTGTGAAGTTTAGGCCTTGTAGAGTTAGGGTGTGTAGAGTTAGAAGCTTGGCTCTACATGAGATCAGACAACTTTTTGACAATGCGAATCATAAGTGGTCTCGTCTTGTCAGCATTTTGCAAAAAAAAATGTAACTTATAGTAATTTAGTTCTTCCGTCATACCTGTGTGCCTTGAGGTTCGCCATTGTTGTCAATGTAGGCATCTTTCAGAAATCCAGCTTCTTGCGCTTGCTTGCCATCAGCAGTTGAGAAGCTGAAAATGCAGATTTTCTCAATTTAAATCCCTCGTTTAATACTCTAGTATAATTATGTATTTTTTTTAATCCTATTCATATTATAAATGTGAAAATGTGTATGTTGGTAACTATATCACACAAATACGGCTGAACGAATTTGGCTAAAATTGTATATATAGTTTACGACCTTGAATGACACATAGGATACTATTTATCCCAGAAAAATTTGATAATCAAAAATAGTTAACGTGGACGAAGTCGCGGGTGGCCGTTAGTAATAAATAGAAAAATGCGATTGATCGACGAGAAAAAAAAATATGATTTTGGATTTCTCGCTTGACGCTTCATTTACAGAAGTTTGATGTGTGCTCCGTATGAAAAGTAATTTTAGCCAAATAACATTATGTTCTGGCGATACGGCGAAAGTAGCTGGTGCAGTCTTTATATCTGCTGAAGAAAGCTGATCTTCGAAACTGTAATAGTTTAAGAATAATACATGATCATCAGCCTATTAAGGACCTCCCTTTTGGATGGAATAAGGGGATCTACTCGGTGCTCGTCGGTGGGACAGTGACACTGACTGCGGGTACATTGTTGGACATCAATAACTGTGTCAACTTTCGATACCTGTATGATTTAGTTCTATCGCCGCGGTGCTCGTTGGGTACTGCTGGTCCCGGCGCAAGAACGCTGTACTTGTAGTGAGGGTTGTTTAGACCAAGCGCGAAAAAGAACGGAGCGGTTCCCACTGTTGGGATAGTGCCACTTTCTGTGAGAACTATGTTATACACCAAAAACTGTGTTAACATCCAATACGAGTACTGTACCTATACGAATAAGTTCCATCGCCGCGGTACTCGTTGTAATATTATAGTATGGGTACAACTGGTTCCGGCGCAGCAGGGTTGTACCTGTAATAAGGATTATTTGAACCCGGCACCAAGGGTATGGGGTAGGCGGCAACAGAAACGCAGCGGTGCCCACTGGTGGAACAATGCCACTGACTGTGAGAACTATGTTGGACACCAAAAACTGTGTTATCTTTCGATATTGTACCTGTACGAATAGGAACCACAGCCTCTGTACTCGTTGGAATATTAGAGTATGGGTACAGCTGGTCCCGATGCAGCAGGGTTGTACCTGTAATAAGGGTTATTTGAACCCGGCGCCAAGGGTGTGAGGTAGGCGGCAACAGAATCGCAGCGGTGCCCACTGGTGGAACAATGCCACTGACTGTGAGAACTATGTTGGACACCAAAAACTGTGTTATCTTTCGATATTGTACCTGTACGAATAGGTACCATCGCCGCTGTACTCGTTGGAATATTAGAGTATGGGTACAGCTGGTCCCGACGCAGCAGGGTTGTACCTGTAATAAGGGTTATTTGAACCCGGCGCCAAGGGTGTGGGGTAGGCGGTAACAGAAACGCAGCGGTGCCCACTGGTAGATCAATGCTACTGACTGTGAGAACTATGTTGGACACCAAAAACTGTGTTATCTTTCGATATTGTACCTGTACGAATAGGTACCATCGCCGCGGTGTTCGTTGGAATATGAGAGTATGGGTACAGCTGGTCCCGGCGCAGCAGGGTTGTACTTGTAATACGGGTTCGTCAGTCCCGGCGCGAAAGGCGTAGGCGGCGCGAAGGGGAACGTAGCGGTGCCCACTGTTGGGACGACGGTGCCCACCGGTGGGACAATACCACTGACAGTGGGAACTATGTTCGCGCTATCTGTGCTCTGGTCTACGGGGCGGGCGCTACTAAGTGCCAAATATATGGCAAGTAGACACAACAGGTGCTTCATCTGGAAAATTCAAATATTATGGTTAAAGTACAAGATGTATTCAAAAACTAAAATTAAAGCATCACTAAGATACGTGTTGTATATTTTTTTTATCATATGCGCATATATGGTCTCTGTTATCGCAAAGAGAGTGACAGCATCAACCCCAGTCCAATTTGAAAGTTAATTAACTTTTCTGAGTCCGTTTGTAGAGAAATAATCGAAAAAGATACAAAATAAGTTTCTATCACTTTAGAAGCCTATATTTAATGAAGTCTTTAGTAGGATAGGATACAAAGGAGGTAGGGCACTGCAAATTTTCCGCTCGAATTGGAGCACCCGTCTGGGGAAGCAACCTCCAACTTACAAAAGTCCACAGTAAAATAAAAGTACTTTTTGGTGGGCTTGCGTTTTTGATGGTGAGTAGGTTTCAGGGCTCCGCGGGATAAGGGATTGAGTTCAGTGGGGGAGGGGTATTTATTGCGACTCGTATAAAAAATCACTGATCTCATCCTACCTACCTCCGTGGCCGACTGGTTTGTACGCCGGGTTTTAAGATGTCGCCTACTCGAGAGGTCCCGGGTTCGAATCCCGGTGGGGGCAGATGTTTGTGTGATGAATACAATACCAGCATTTGTATTCCAGTCATGGATGTCCAATATGTATTTCTATATAAATATACTTATATATGTACTGTATATGTAGTCTATCCGGTACCCCAGTATCCCATAACAAAAGCCTTACAGTGCTTACAACAAGTTCTCTACCTATGCTTTAAATAGATAATTAAGCTATAATGAATTAATTTAAGTAATATTCACATGTACTTCAAAAAAACAGAAATTTTTCTTATGTAAAAATGTGTATAAATACTTTTAACACAAGTCCATAATAAAGGCGTAAGCGTAACGAATTTCAAACAAAAGAATGAAATAATTCTTAATTATCATAAATAAAATGTTATCTTACAAGTTTCATGAGTACACTTAATCTTTTACTGCGTACATTGTCAGTTTAATGTATTGTTATCTCGACTTTTAAATTGCATGTTCTTTCATTACGTCACTTGTCCGTAAAAACCACATCTCAATCGACATAATTAATTATAATTAGTCAGTAAGCCTCAAATTTTATTGTCCTACTCTTCAAACCATTCAATGTTAATTGCAAGATTTTGGGAGTAATAAATGTTGCCCATATGATGATACACATCAAAATTATGGCTTAGTTTTTGTGATAAATTTAAGGTTTTTGCTAATTAGCAAATTAAGCTTGTGTGTGAATCGATTCAATCATGCAACATTAATACAGTTTTATAGAAAATTAAAACGTTAAGGCTACATATCTCTTGCGGTGTTGGGAGAGCATCAAAGATGCGACGCCAAACTTGCCATAAGTTGGGTTTAAAATTTTGTTTTATAAGTAAAAATTTGTGACAATCAAGCATAATAACACTCCTGATGGCCCAGGCCGTCCATATGGATGGTACAGGGAGAACAAGCCACGACCCATTGAATAATCGTGGGGGCTAGTGACTTCAGATGAAGCCACGACCAATGGCTTAAGATGCCGTGCGAAGCACGTCACAATCATGGAAATTAAGCATCTTTCGCAATGGTCTGTCATAGGATGACAAGTGACCTAATTTCGCCCGTTAAGCCGTTAGGATCCATTAATCGACACAGGATCCATGGGATGCAGGAACTAACGGTTAATACATATTCCCTCCACCGAATAATGATGACTATAAGCACAATCCCATGTAATTGCCATCCATTGATACAAATAAGCCTTAATTACCACTATGAACGCCAATACCTTTTTTAAGTAATCGGAAACACTTTAAAGAAATCAAATATTTTTACAAGTCCTCCCTAACTCCCTCTCTTTAAATCTAAACAACTGACACTCAAATTTGTTTCGAATGTATGAGAAAAATCTACTATATCCAAGTTTCTTTTAAATATTATTTCTATGATTACCTCAGCTTCGGGTTCAGTCACAACCAACTGCTCTCGTTGTACACAAACTGCTACTGTTAGCGTGAGATCTGAATATTCCATTTATATGTAGCAGGGTTGCTTTGTGCGGATATTTTTTGTACAGCCACCATTCAAACGTGAGCATCACACACGTCCCTTCTACCCACCACTAGCTATTAACCGAGTTATAGATCTTGTACTGCACGAACATGATGATATGGAAACATTTACCAATTTCGACCCGAAATTACAGCAAATGTTACATGACGTACTACATAGTTTCACTCAATTACGTTGCAGAAATATTGGCAGCACAGGTGGTCTTTACTTACACGAGATTCCGAAGTTAAATTGTTTTAAACCTTAACGGTACATGCGAACACAAACGTTTTGCCCTAACAGGGCTTCATTATGTTCTTAGTTTTATGGCAGATGTATCAATCGCTCTTAAACACCTACATCTTATGCTATCATCTCGATATTTGAAACTGTTACTAATATCAGAAAATAGATTTATCGCATAATAATCGTTAAATCTGAAGATTTGAAATTACTGTATGTATTCTTCATAAGCAAGTTCAGATAAGTGTCCAATAAATTTAAAGTATTCGATAAAAGATCGAACATAACTGCTGACAAAGCAGTAAAACAAAATTTTATAAAAAACAAAATTGTAGCAGGTAAAACAATGAACAATTTGGTTTTTTATAAAGTATTCTAAGTGCAATATTAAGCTAGATATTAAAGATCAAAGCCGTTTTTTATTTTGTCTGAAATTTAATCGATGTGGTCAATGCCATCTAGCGGCGAGCAGATGCATTTTATGCATTCTAATACAAAAGGGTTTTGTAGTGCTTGAAATAAGCTTTAAAATGAGCACTATTAAAATTCTTTTGCACGTAAAATAAGTGAGCTGTATTGCAAATAAGGGGAGCATCTAATGTTTTTTCTTTTTAAATCAATGGGTTTCATAAGTGCCATTTCCACCAAAATTAAAATTAATCGTATTCCGCCTAGAATTAACTTTATTATGAAGAGTTTGATAGATAGTATCAGTTTGGCTGCTTCAGGACACATATTTTTCAAAAAACTCACGATTAAAAGACAAAACAAAATTTCAAATTTTTAAAAAACCCACTTTTTTTTCATAAGATCTCAAAAATGACGACAGATACGTATAAAAGTGTACGATTTAAAAATTTAGGTATTTTTCTGACAAACAATTTGGTTTTTTTGTTTTTTCTGTCAAAATAAAAAGAGCAGCGCAATCACAGCCTCTCTTAACCCGTTTTAGAAAAAGGTTTTTTAATATACATTGCAATGAAGGATGTTGTAGCTCTCTTAATTACCTTTACAATGGTTTTTCATAAATTGTGATAGCATGAAAATTTAAGCAGTTATGGTCCAAAAACTTATCATATTTTTTTCTACTTAGTAACTGAAAATTTCGGAGTGTGAATATTTGGAGCAATGTGAAAGTACGCAGTATAATAGAGACCGACAACCTATTGTAATGCGTATATATATACATAATATGGCTCATATATTTTGGAAACGTAGGCATGAATACATACCAACGTTCTTATATGTATATATAACACATTTCATCATTTCATCATCATCATCATCATTCATCCAACGGATTGGGGGTGGGTCATGAATGACGGTTTATTAAATCCACTTAAGTCTGTAGATCCACCCGCACCACAAGAACTGCTGAAAATGATTTTTCGCAACTGCAAAAAAGGATGTGGAGCGTCTTGCGGATGCAGAAAAGTTGGTCTGTTTTGTAATAGTACCTGTGGAACGTGCAGTGGAGATAGCTGCCAAAATAGCCCTCCAATTCAGCCAGAAGATGTTGAATGTGACAGCGACTCCGGCATTGAGTCATGAATTGACATTATGAATAATAATAATATTATATTTTAATAATAATAGTACAATTTTATATAATTAGTAAATATTTTATTCAATAAATAGCATTTTTTTACTCTAAATTAAATTATATTTAAATATGTAATCATATATATTTACTGTTTTAATTTAGAAGTAGTTTTAAGGGTAGAAAAGCTTAAGAATATGATAATCATTTTCGAGTGTGGAATAATATTTAAATCCTTAACATTTTATCAAAAAAAATTTTTAACAATTTTTTATCAAGGGGTAGTTTTCAAGGGTTGAAAGGGGGTTAAAAATTAGATAATTATTATAGAGAATATAAAATATTACTTACTCTATACTTACATCTTTTTATGTCATACCAAAGTATTTTTTTGTGATTTTTTTCAATTTAGGGGTTGTTTGCAAGGGTTGTAAGATTTTCAAGGGGTTGGTTAAATGATTTAAATATGAGGTAATTATGTTAGAAATACTTTACAATGTCATCACTTACTATTAGACATGTTTTCTAGCGATAAAATGGCTCAATGTCAATTTTTCCATTAGGGGTTGTTTACACCCCTTAAAAATAATAGGCGGAGTTCAGATCATTTTCACTTTTGAAGTTAAGGGTAAGATGAGCCTAATTCCAAAATTTCATGCAAATCGGTTCACAGTAAAAAAATTCGGAGGTAAGACCGTATTTTTCGCTTCAATGACTGCACTACAATGCCTATAGGTATTGATATACGCTTAAATTGAAACTGTTTTTCTCGGCATTGTTTTTCCAATAAGTAATGTTTCTCAGTAGTTACTTGCTGTGTCACATTATGCATTGCGCATTGCCAAAGTGCTCTAAATATGACAATACTAATATTAAATGCAAGCAAACTATAGTTTTGATTAAAATTTAAGTTTTTTGTTGCAGATTTTTTACACCGTGCAATATTACAGTCATAAAAAGAAGGTCAGAAGCTTTGTCTTTCAATATTGTCGACAAAAGCATCTGTTTAACAATTATAACCTGCAGTCAGACATCTCCAACTGCTAATTACGTAGGTACACATTGTGTTTTGGTGCGTTAGGGTAATGCATAAGATTATTAAATTTAATTGAGTTTATGTGACCTCCATAATTACGTTACAGTACCACATAATATGACGATTGCGCATAGAATTGTCTATAGAAGTGGACGGCAACGATGCTTCTTGTCCAAAACAATGTCCATTGTTCATAGTCACAAGCTCTTTAGATAAGTAACGTATCAAAAATAGACGATTTAAGAAATCAGCATTTTATTGACTTCCTTTTTCACATTAGGGCGCATAGTAACTTTTGGATTGCCATACTATGCTAGTATAATTATTATTTCCCTTTCACTTTGCCTCAGCCTTTTCTTCCCGCATCCTGATCTCAAGCCGTTCGGAGCTGCTGATGTCTGTGTTGACGGGTGGTCCTAGCAATTGTTGGTGCATTACTGATTTGATCTACGGTACCTGAGGTTAGGTTAGGTTAGCTCCTCTGTCCTCATAGACCACGATCTCGTGCCCTAACGCACCTATTTTATTTACGCAGGCAATACCTCTTTTTACACACGTTGGCGGGAGTTTACCTTAAGGAGCACACCAACGAATGGATCTCACACCTAGCCTCTCGCAAGTCTCACGGGTGCGAAACGGAGAAGCCGTTAAGCAGTCCATGCGGCTTACGAGCGCTTACGGCATACTATCCACTACAAAACCCTGTGAATACGCTGTTAAGTGTGGAACCGTGAGATCAACAGCCGGGTATTTCGGGTGATCTAGCAGACGTGCGCAGGACTGACCGCGCTAGGAGCGCGCGGCCTATTGCCCACCGCACGGCTCCCCATCCGCTGCGTAAGGGCGGCCTAGGCGTTACCCTCTCAGGCCCTTCCGCGGCCCTCTCATGTAGGACAGAACTACAAAAGAGTACTGCTGTCACGGAATCCATCTGTGGCCAGCATAGCAAAACGCCATGTCGAGCAGCGAGGGATTCCTTCAGGTAGAGTGGTCACTGGGCGGGCGAGACCAGGGTGCGCCTTCGCCTTCCCCAACCTGTCCTTCTGCGGCGGGAGGGAGCGGCCAGAGGATTATCCTCCCATTCCCTCTCGGCCGCCTCCTCCGAAGCCATCTCGCCGCTGAGCATGGCCTCGACCATGCTCCGCAGCGAGCAACCTAGCGCCGCGATTACTTCGCTGTCGTCGCCAGACCGGGCACTCCAACAAGGTGTGTTCGGCCGTATCGTCGGGAGCGTCACAATGATGGCAGCGCGGCGTCTCCTCCCGAAGGGCGACCCAGTGGTGCCCTAACGTACCTAGGTAGTCTTCGGTGTTACCCGGTTTAGTGTTGATGGTAGCCTAAGACCACTTCGTCAATACTAATCTTCCTTAGCTGTGCAGTTCCATCCACTTCCCGGTCGATGATTCCCCTTCAGCACCTTGCATGCTTATTTTAACTTCATGATGGCGATCATTTATTAATAGTGCGATAGCTTTATTGTTCTTCCGCGATATTCTGCATGTTTGTGTAATTTCCAGGAGTTCTTGTATACTTTGCGTTACGTCGCATGGTGGTATAGGTTCGTTTACTAGCTCACCGAGATCAGGTGAGATGTTCACAGTATTCTTGCTCGTAGCATTGCAAAAAATGATGCCAACTCTATCTCATTAGTTATCCATGAATTTTGCCACTGCCCGCAGCCGTATTCTGGCCTTTCCTGTTGATATGATTTGAGTATACATTCCTTGTTTTGATATTTTTTTATCTACGTTATATTATAATTATTAACTTTTATTGCTTAAAAATATAGGTTTTATATATTAATAATGAATACCTAAGAAAGAAAGGAAAATATAATAAGAAGTATTTCTCATTTAATATAAGTTTTAAATTAAACTTAACATAGATTGTAGCAACGATTGCTACAATAAATGTTAGTTTTCAAGTGATAAAAAAAACATCCAACAAAACAGATCTACGATTTTCTCAGCTAAGAGTGCTTCATTAGTATATGAATCTCCATTATGTAGTCAATTACATTAATGAGTACAATTAATGGTTAACGAACCCTGGTACGGACGTATTATTAATATTTTTGCATTTTAACATTAGTAAACTTCTTTCGCAAATTTCATGAAAACTTGTTTTATACTGAGTCAGCTCACGTAAATATGGTTATTTCATGACAATTATCTAAACTAGT